AAATAATATAACAGGATCCTTATATAATCCGATAAATCAAAAAAAAAAAAAAAAAACGGGCAAGGCTTATCAATATATAAACTGTTCATCGACGATTCCGAACTTGACCAAGACCGAGATCTCATCAGAAGTCAGAATTATCACATAATGGCTTTCCACTTAAATACACATAGTAGCCTACAATAACGTGGCAAATCAGTAATATAACATCAAATTAAAGTTGTCCCTCCAAAAGAAACAGTGATGTATAACCTACATGTGAACTCAGCTTTACAAGGCACAGTCGACAGCAACTGAATTGGATAGTATGGTTAAAAAGAAAATAACATTACTTTTATACCCCCACATGGAGGTGTGGTAATTGATATTGATGAGATCTTGGTCAAGTTCGAATTTGACGATTTTTCGATGAACGGTTTTTGAATAATTTCCCCGGACTTAGGAAAATTGCGTCAAATTTTGTTCATGAGCACAGTAGAGACTTTAATTTTCAAATTTGCAAATAAGTGCCTCTTCATTCTGTCCATATCTGATTTAGGTTGTGGTGTGCAAGGGGCAGGGGCTCTAATTTTTAAACACAAGGTACGCTGTCTGCCAGTTTTACCATCAATACAACCATCTAAACAATCTCCTGTAGCTTGATCACATCTATTGATACAATTACTATTACACTTAGTTTGACATTGATTACCATACCATCCTGTATTACAACTTGTACATTGATTATTATTACAACTAATACAGTTATCTAGACAGGTATCCTGACAGTAATTACCTTTATAACCATCTATACAACCAGTTGTACAAGTTACTGGTCTAGATTGTGATTGATAACATTTACTCTGTTTACATTTAGAACTACATTTATTATTACATGTATCACCATACCATGTATCTTTACAACCAGAGTTACATTTACCACTAGTTTTATAACAAGTAATAGAGAGATGATCTATACAGTTAACTGAACATCGCTCTTCACATTTATCTCCCCAGTAATAATTCTTACATTCACTACAATATCCATTGTTCTTATCACATTTAGACAGTCTACAGTTTGTAGGACATTGTTTCTCACATTTTATACCCCAATAACCATCATTACAAGCTTCACAATCACCATTATTCTGGATACAACCACCATTACAATTAGTAGGACATGGTGTATCACATTTATTACCATGGTAACCAGACTTACAATTGTTACAATTACCACTATTCTGGATACAACCACCTTTACAATTAGTAGGACATGGTGTATCACATTTATTACCATGGTAACCAGACTTACAATTGTTACAATTACCACTAGAATCACAGCCATCTTTACAATTACTTCCACATTCTAGAGAGTAATAAAATACATAATTGAATCACATATTGAGGAGTTAAGAATCCTTTCCGTTTCGTTTAAGAGGTTTTTTAGATAGTAAATCTTGATAGTTTTGCCTTTCTTGTTTGTCTCTTTTTAACAAGATGCCTTAGAGGTATATAAGTATAAACAGTTAAATTATGGCAAAGACTAATGTTTACTGTATTTACGGTGGAACATATGCACATATCCATGCAGATTAAATACGTATAACAAAAACACTCACTTTCAAATATTTCTACTTCACAGAGTGCGAGGTATTTGTCTCCTGCTTGGTCGGGATTTTCTACACTAATATATACTATACTACCATTAAACTGTATATTTTGTGATTGATTACAACTATTTATATTGTAGATATCTCGTTTTGTTGTACTAGTATCTTTATAACAAACTGTAGATTGTTGATATCCATTATAATTACACCTACCATTAGAACTTAATCTTAGTTTAAAACCATTTAATCTTTCTTGATCTGTAAAGACAACTTTCATTAGATTGATCAAAGTAACTGAAATTAACTTCTGAAAAGTTATTAATTAATTAATGAAACACATTCAAATCTTCACTTTT